GTTGTGCAGGTCCTGAATGAGGCTGGAGGTGTCGTTTTCCTTAGGGATCAACTGCACCTCCCTGGTCAGCTGCTCAATCAAGGCCTGAAGCTTAACAGAATCAGCCTCCAAGTTCTGGATACGACACTGTTGCACTCCAATGAGAATATTCTGCTCCGTGAGTTGAGTCTGGAGCTTGACAGCAATGTTCTCAGTTTCATTGGAAACACCCTCATCAGAGCCAGCCTCTTCCTCATTTTCAGCATCAGCCTCAAGGTCAGCTTCACTTCCATTGATCTCCATGTCAACCACGAAATCCTCAAGGTTGAGATCAATGTCAGCAGCAGCAGCAGCATTATCTCCCTCAGTGCCAACAACGGGCACCTCCTTAGTAGCATCCATCTCTTGACCAGCAGCCATGAAACAGGTCTCAACAGATCTTATAATAATCTTTAAGAAATCTGATTACTCTTATAGAATAATCCAATACAGAATCTCTTAAGATAGACTTGTTTGCCAAATCTCTCTATCACCTCAATGATAGAGCAAGATATACTCAAGAGAGTAATCCTCAACAAGCCCTTTATAGATCTGAAGGTACACTCTTCTACACAAAGTAGATCAAGAGTCTTCCACCAAAGGTGGGTAAGAGAAATTAATCTCTTCAAATTTCTTCTCAATGTTGATGAAGAAAAATGAGCTCCTTGTAGATCTTGAAGCTCCAATGGTGTGTTGAGGAGATTGAAGCTTAAAGCTTGGAGATCTTGTAGAAGCTTTTGTAGATCTTGAAGAACCACTTGTAGATCTTGAAATTTCTTCAAAATCTTCAAAAGATCTTGATAGCTCCTTGGATGAAATCCTGGATCCACAAGCTAGGATCCTCTAAAAAAAATAGTCCAAGTAGCAAATGGCCACACAAGGCCAAGGAAGAACCTTGCTCTAGATACCAATGTAATGCCCAGGGCTATTATAATGGCGGTTACAAGGCTTTTATAATATTCCAATACAAAATAGTAGCTTTAACTAGCCTTAATAGCCTTGGAGATGAAGATCTTCTTGATGCCTTTGATGAAAAGCATTTGGAGTAGTAGTGTAGGGAGACTTGTGAGAGAGCCCAAAAGGACTTAGAGAAACAATCCCATTTCCAATTGTTTTGTTGGAGTGGGAGGTTCAGAATGAGCTTGCTTAGCGCAGACCCCCTCAATACACCCCTTGGGGAACTATCCCAACCATGGTTTCCATGGTGGGATGGTTCCTAGGCTTGGAGCCTATGTGGCAATTGTGTTGGGTTGGAAAACCCAACTTAGAACCATTCAATGGTTGTGTTTAGGATAGAGTAGATTGTAACACTTGTTTGGCAGTTTCTGATTGGTTGGGATTCCAACCTTCAACATTCTCTTGGTTGAGTTGGAAATGTTCCAAACCTCCAAAGTTGAGGCTTGGCAAACCCAAACCAAGTTTCATCCCAACCAACTCAACCATCTTCTCCAACTCTTCCTTTGTCGAGAGAAGTTCTCAACAATTGACTTAGAGAGAGATCGATGGTTGTTAGCTCGGTAGTTAGGGTAATACGTTACAGAATAAGACGAGGGTCGATACTACGGGCTGATTTTCAGGATAAGATGGCGGTGAGTTCCCGGGAGAGCTGAGCGCACGGCATCCGCCCAATACGTGTCCCACGTGGCAGTTTCCACGGCGGAAGACACACCAAGCACGTGCCACGCGATATTCTCGCCGACGGCCGTCCACATAACACACCGAGCTAGTCATTGCCCTTGCCCCTATCGTGATGCGCGTTCCCTAAGCGAGGCAAATACAGTACAGCAATGAAATGAATGGGTGTTGCTTCAGCGGCAGCAGCAGTATGGACGAATAGAATGCACGCGACGGCATCGCGAGCAACGTGTGGGCTTGGCTTGGCTTGGCTTGGCAGGCATTCGTTTGCCCTTGCAGAGAGGCAGCACTAGCGGGACGAGAGAAGGACCAGTATCAAGAGGAACCACAATTGGGAGACGGCTGGTGGGTGGAAGTGGGAGGAGCTGATTGAGATATGCAGATATGGGTTGGGTTACGTTGGGTTAGGCCTGGTTGGATTGGGTATGGTTGCTGGGCTGGGCTGAAATTAGCTGATTTGGTTGAGCTGGGTTGGGTTGGGTTGGTTTGGGCTGATTGAGGTTAGGAGGATACCCAGAGTGGTTGGTTGGAGCGAATGGGGATTGGACAGGGAAGGTGAGGCATTTTGGGCGAGGAAAGAGATTTGATGTGTTTCATCAGAGTGAAGAGAGATTTGAGAGTGAAGATAGTTGTGATAAGGTCAAGTGCGGTGCATCGCACGCTGCCTTGTTACCATTCTCGAATCTGTCTTGACAATATTCCAAGTCGCCTAGGTCCCTACATGCTCGCACGTCAGGAAGCAGCTAGTAGCCCTAGTCGGCCTTACCAACTTAGTGCCTTCTTGGAAGATTGACTTGATTTCCTGCAGCCATCCACCAGGCCGGTTCTAGTCTGTTGAAGCATCGAAATTTCTACAACTGCTCGACACAATATACAATTACCTACAATATCACAACAACGCAGCGGGGTTCGTTACAAGTTAGCACAGCATTTCAAAGGCTGCGCACGATTAGGCGTTCTGGGAGGAGGGAGGCGGTGAGGTCGAGCCTGCTGAGACCCACCGCGACCCGCGAATCCTACTCCTTCCGGGATCGACCGGCGGGTAGGTAATAAGTGTAGTCTAGCGTATTCCTGCTGTAGTTCAAATCGTGATTCGCTACTGTGCCTGGTGAGTGTCCTGCTATCCCAGAGAAATGAATCTCGGTCGTCATGGGAGGGGTGAAGTACTGTAACGCCTGTGGGGCTTACACGTAAGGGTATGAGAGCATCCGCTGCGCCTCAAATACAACCCTCGTTTTGACCCAGTGGGTAGCGAGGTGTTACATTTGGTCTCAGAGCCTGGGGTTCGATTCCTGGCTGGGTCACATTTGAATGTGCCAGTCGCGAATTTAGTGAACGATCCACCGCTAGCCTGGTCCACCAGCGAAGTCGCTGTAGAGCGAGATTCAGGTCCTTGCGAGGGCCGACTCCCTGCCCAACGAGGACGTTGGCTCCAGGGGGGGACGAGTGTAACGCCTGTGGGGCTTACACGTAAGGGTATGAGAGCATCCGCTGCGCCTCAAATACAACCCTCGTTTTGACCCAGTGGGTAGCGAGGTGTTACAAGTTCGGTGAGTCAATATCGAACCGTCATATCCTCATTTCCTCATGCTCACGAATTCATATTTCTGTACGATGTGAAACCGCAAACCCTAATCCGTTCCCCACCATTCCACCCTTGGTTTTTGAACCGACAGGTGCCAGCATGGCAGGTCAGGGGACGGGTTTCGGCCTCTGTGGACGTGACAGCTGGCATGCTCGCCGTGCAGCTGCAGGATTCGGACCTCTGGTAGGTTCGGGGTGCAGGTTTGGCGATGCTGGGGAAGGGTTAAATGTGGATGAGTTAGGCGTGTCTCAAAGACTCGTTTCATTGGGTAATTTATGGTAATGTTTCTTGCGCAAAAACGAAAATTTGGGGCACGTCCTTGGGATAATTTCACTTTATGTGCTGGCTGTGCTGCTGCAGGATCTGAGGCTCTTGCATGCAGGCTCGTAACTCAGGCTTGGCAATGTAGGTTCGGTTCGGAATGCGTCAGGCAGGATCTGAGTTCTCCTTTCCCGTTTCCCCTCCCTCAATTCCACCCTTCTTCTACCCGACCCCCCACCTCCAGGCAGCCCCACGCCGTTGCTCAGCTCCCCCCATTCGTGCCCCGCCAGTCACTCTCCTCCATACAGCAATCCATGCGTACACCCCTTTCCCCTTCCCCACCTCACCACCCCTCCCCACCCCCCGCCTCCCCTTCCCCTTACTCCCCCAGTCTTTCCATCCCTCTCACCCTCCCCCAGGCCGCCCCACGTGGTGTCTCCTCTCCCCCATGCGTGCTCCGCCAGTCATATGCGGCCGTCATCATGAGCCCGGTTAGTTCTGCTCACATGGTTGAGAAAGGTTCTGTGCGGTGAATGATCATGAGGTAAGTCATTCCTCTCTTCACTTTGTTTTAAATAAACTTCTTATCAAACCACAACCCAAATCCCGATCCCAGCCTAACACCATGCCTCAATCAGCCTGAGCGCACAATGTTTCGTGCCTCAATCAGCCTGAGCGCACAATGTTTCGTGCCTCAATCAGCCTGAGCGCCCAATGTTTCGTGCCTCAATCAGCCTGAGCGCCCAATGTTTCGTGCCTCAATCAGCCTGAGCGCCCAATGTTTCGTGCCTCAATCAGCCTGAGCGCACAATGTTTCGTGCCTCAATCAGCCTGAGCGCACAATGTTTCGTGCCTCAATCAGCCTGAACGCACACAACATTCCATCGACGTTCGCCAAGGTTTGTTGGCTGCGTGTCATGTGATTTCTGAGCGGTTCCGTGCGGTTCTGTGCGGATTGTGCTCCGCCAGTCATGCTTTGCCGTCTCTTGTTCCTTTCTCGGTTTCGGATTTATCCTGATCCCTGCGCTGCCATGTGTAGGTTCGTATCCTGGAGTGGTAATGAGGGGTGATGAAGGGTCATGATATGTATGCTCCTTCGTCGATTGAGTTAGTAGGCCTGTTTTGTTTCCTTCTCGCCCTTCGTCCATGCCCTGCCACGTGTAGGTTCGTGAGTGGTCTGTGTGACAACCGCAATCCGGCACTGGTTCGGTCGGTGGCGAGAATGGAAGCATGGGCATTCCGCGAGTGCTGGTGCATGTCTAGAACTGCAAGTAAAGCTCGAGGGAAGTGCAGCGAAACACTCTGTCACAGTGTAACACACACAGCAACGCGCTCTTGGTCGGATCTGTGGGGAGGGTGGCGGCACGGCACGCGTGGGCATCCCACGAATGTTGGTGGACGTGCGGCATTGTAAGCGAGGCTCGAATGCGTTTTTGAGTGGCATGGTGGGGTGCTAGTGTAACCGCTTTTGGATGCGGTGGTGGTTGATGGCTCGGGGGTAATGGGCTGGGGGTATTGGGAGCACATCCTTCCGTCCCCTCCCCGTCCTCACTCCATCCCGTCTCCAGCCCTGCCCCACGACCGCCTGCTGCAGCAGCCAGTGTTGAAACTCCCCATTCCATCCATACTTCCCCCCTCCCCTTACTCCCTCTTCTCCCGCCCCCTCCCCCATCCCCTTCCCCATGACCCTTCCCTGTCACCCGTCCCCCTTTTCATCTCCGGCCGCCAGTGCTCTGGCTGGCTGTCTGTGACTGAGGTGAGCGCAATGGATGCGGATGGTGGTTGGGGAGAGAGAGAGGGTCAGAGCACGAGGGAGAAATGGAAAGAAAGGGAAAGGAGGAGGGAGGGCAGGAGTGAGGAGAGAAAGGGAAGGGAAAGTTGCTGCAGCGGCTGGTGTTGTAACTGGGTGTGGTTCCGGTGAGCGCGATGGATGCGGATGGTGGTTGGAGAGAAGGACAGGAGTCAGAAAGTGAGGGAGGGAGAGTAGGGAGGGAAGAGAGTGGGGGAGGAGAGAGAGTGAGGAAGGAGAGTAAGGAAGGGCAGTGAGAGTGGAAAAGGGTGGGAGGGCAGTGAGAGAGGAGAAGGGGGGAAAGGAGGATCAGTTGCTTGCAACTACCCTGCTGCAGTTGGCAACGTGAACGCGAGGGAGGGTTCGGGAGGGCGAGTAACAAGGCGAGAGGAGGGGTTGCGGTTGTGGGAAGAGACCGGACTAACTGGGTCGAGTAATACAGGGGATGGTAAGAATAGAAAGAAGGGAGATTTGGGAGAAAGGACAAAAGAAGAAACAGGGAACGGGAAGACCAGAAACAGGAAGCTGAGAAAAAGGGAGGAGAGGGAGAGGCAGCGAGGAGGTGGAGGGAATGGGGCAATTGGGATGAGGAGGGAATCTTGCTGAGAAGAACCTTCCTAGAAAGAAGTGGAGGGTTGCTGCTAACTGGGTGCCCCATGTCGTCCCTAGCTGCCAGCTCTGGCGTTCTTCCGAACCTGGAGCCGCCCGTTCGAGGCTGGAGGAACGGTGAAAGGGAGAGGGGATGGGGAGAAGAAATGGGTGGGGCGGTTGGGGAAGGTAGGGGGCGAGGGACAGGGATAGTGTTGGGGGGATTGGCGGGGCTAGAGGGGAAGGGGACGATGGAGAAACAGAGGAGAAGAGAGTAGAGATGGAATCTGGTGCTTCTTTTGGTAGTGGTGGTGCTGGTGCTGGTGCTGGTGCTGATTGTGGTGCTGGTGCTGGTGGCGAGGTGGGTGCTGGTGATGGTGCTGGTGGTGGTGGTGAAATGGGTGCGATAGCACAGTTGGAGGAGGCTGCAAGTGGTGCATTGTTGGGAGAAGCAGGAGCATCAATGGCAGGGGAAAGGGGATTAGTCGCAGCAATGCCGACAGCTACACAAGTGGCTGGCAGCAGAAGCAGCGGGGAGAGAGGGGGTATGGGAGGAGGAGGTGCTGGGGCAAGTGGTGGCCCTGCTGCTGCTTCAGAGTACCATTGGGCAGCCTTTAAGCACTCAATTGCCTTAATCTGACCACTCGTTGCTCATTTTTTCCTCTCTGCTTTAGATATTTGTTTTTTTACTCGACACCAGGGAGGTCAGTTTGGAGGTCACCTTTCAAACATTTTCTTGTGGTCTCTGTAATTTTTGACAAATTAATGTGGTACCGTACGGTACCTTCCATACTTCCACCTTGCAACCAGCATTCAGAGGTTTTGCTTGATGAAGGGCAGAGAAAGCAGCTAAGGTACTAGGCGGCCAGGGCCCTCGCTAGTCTCTGAACCCCCCTGAGGCGTCAGACGGGCCCTTCGGGCCCGTCTGACTGGTCAGAAATTTTTCACGCCCCTGTCTTTCGCATCAGAAATTCTAACATTACTTGGCTTAAAAATCAGATTTTGTAAACCGTCCCTACTGTAACTACAACTACTACTACAGCTATTCTCTACAAAGAAAACATATCAAGAATAACTATCTAGCTATCTGAGTCAGAATCAGATGCCTCATTGTCACTCAGTGTAACAGTTGCACGCACATCCACTCCTTCATCCTCACTGTCGCTATCTACTACGTGAGTTTTGGCTTTCTTCCTCTTGGCTTCTCCGTCGTCATTGGACGGCGCCTTCTGAGCTGTCGTGTTAGGTGCTAGATCCTCCCTGTCTCCCTGCCTCCCTGCCGCTTCCGTCTCTGCCTCCCTGCGCTTCGCAGTTGCCACTCCACTGACTTCTTTGGCAGGGCGCCTCTTCTTTGCCCCGCGCCACAGCTTCACAACGTCGTCCCAGTCTGGTTCGTAGTCAAGCAGGGAGATGCACATGAGGTCGGAGAGTCGCGCATTGCAGAGGTTGTTCCTGAGCCACGACTTGATTACGTTTTGGCGACTGAACCCTCGCTCGCACTCCACAGTGCTGAGCGGAAGAACACCCACTGCCACCCAAAGTCGAACCAGATTGGGGAAAGAAGACTCCCAATCCCCGCTCCTGAGCATGTTCTTAAGTGCCACGTGGAAGGATTGGTCCTTGTACTGTGACACCATCACGCGGGTGAAACGTGGAAGCTCCCGCTCGGCCTTCTTCCAGTTGACTCCTGCAAGCACACCCAGCACATCTAGTTAGCATCCCACTATGTAGATGGGTCGTTACACAAACAAGGGATTAGGGACAACGCGGAATTTGAAAACACGTACCTGGCAGAGCGCACTGCTCGGCGTTGAACATCTTGCGAAGGGAGCTGAACCACTCCGCGCACAGACGGTCGCACTTGTTCACGCCATCCGGATAGGCGTCTGGCAGAAATAGCTTGGACCCAACGAGGGACTTCAAGCTTCGCATGCGGTACTGTAGCCTGCCGATCACCTCCTTCGCAAACAGGGTGGCAAGGGACACGCAGGACTCGACGTCACCCGTGGGATCCTCTTTCTTCTTCGCATCCAGCTCATGCAGCTTGAAGGTGTGTTTGACGGCGTTGCCGTCTCCATCCATCCCCTCCACCTGGACCACCCGCTTGGACGGATGGGAGTGCGCTTCGAGGAAGGCAGTGAGGTGCTCGCTGTCCTCCACGAAGTTCACCCCGTACTCCACATAGCGCACGTTCAACTTCGCGCAGGTGTTTTGCACCTGCCCCATGACACGGGTGATGTCCACCTGCGACATCACGCACAAACACAATGTTAATCACTGACATTCGGGACTAGAGCGACTTTCAAAATCGGCGACCGTTAATTACACGCTCACCGATCGTCGCTGAAACCGCTTGTTGAGCTCGCTCAATTCCTTCAGGACATCAGCGAGAAAAAAAAAGAAAGAAATGAAATTTGAGGCTCGTAACCAGGTGATACGTCGTGCTGTCTTTCTCGTGGAGCAGCACTATGGCAGCCGGCAGAACAGCGACAAGTCTCGAAACAGCATCGCCCCGCGACAGCCAACGAACATCAAAAATCCCCTGCATCTCCAAGTTCGTGGCGTGAATCACGGTTTGCAGCTCGTGGAACCTCTGGTGGACGACGCAGCTTCCGCCAATGAGGGTCGCGATGACGCGGATCCCTTGGTCGACGATGTTGAAGGCGGGGATGTTCGTCGCGGCATCCTTGGCTGCAAGAGCCTCTCTGTTAGATGATGGAAAAAAAAAACCAAGTGAGTAGGGGGAGATGTATCTGACAACAATACTGCAAAATTTGAAGTGCAAAATACCTCACCGGTGAGCAAGGCAATGACACGCGACAAGATGCGGAACTCGCATCTTCAGCTGAACCACCAGCCCATTCTGACTGCCCAGCATGACGTTCGCGCCATCCGTGCTGATGCCGGAGATCTTGTGCATGTCAACCCCATTGCAGTCCAGATGCGCCAGCAAGATGGCGAGCAGAGATGAAGCGTCGCCCTTCTCCATGGCTAGGTGCCCGAAAAGCTCGGTCACCGCCTTCTCCTTCATGAAGGTTAGGTAGACGATGAGATGCTTGCCATTCCTCCGATCAGTCGACTCGTCGAGCTGAATCCCGAGAAAGGGTGACTCTTGGATGTATCGCATCTGACGGGCCTTCAGGTGCTGCACCATGGCTTCGGTCATCTCCCGAAACCCATATCTGCCATAATAAAAAGCACGACAATAAGTCAATGATGATGAGTACCTAAACATCACATCACGTTGCATTACTCACTCTGTCTGGTAGGTGCCGATGGCCTTGTCGGGAATGTTGGGGGTCTTCAGAACGTGTAGCAGGTGCACAAGGCCAACAAAGAGCGCAATAGGTGCATCCGACTTGCATATGAAAAGCACCACTAATAGAAGTTGTTTCAAACGCTCAATCTCCCCCACCCCATCCTCATACTCATCAATCCCTCGTTGAGAAACTTTACCTCCTTCGGCTCGGGCTTTACGATCGAGGGCGTCCTGATGCTTGCGACTCAGACCATGCTTGCGCATGGTCTGCTTCTGGATGTCCACGCCACCCTCGCCCGCCTTGCCGTACTGCCAGTGTGGCGGTCCGTATCTGATGCAGACACTGCACTTCATGCACGGGCGACCATCCTTCCTTTGTGATATCAGCAGCCAGGGGAAACGACGTTGCCAGATGTCGGTGCACTTCTTCTTCAGTTCTTCGAGAAGCGCGTCAGGATCCGGAACCAAAATAGACGGCCTGGATGGCCCTGGATCCGAAGGCACCCTGCTCGTGCCAGTCGCTGGAGTCAGCGGAGTAGCAGCAGCTGCGGGAGAGGGTGACCTTCCTTGCGTGAGGCGCACATGAGGTACGCGAGTTCGAGCAAACCGAATAGTCGATTGAGTGAACTTCCTGAACTTCGGGAACCGGGAGACACTGCGCTTCGGACAGCACTGACCGTGGGAGTTGCGACGCGCCCGGTCGCTCTAGTGGGCGACTCTTCCACAGGCGGATCGCTCAGCTGTTGCCGCTGATTAAAATCCGGCCAGGGCTCCGTGCTTGCCGTTGGTTCGTTGTTGGTAACTGGGGGCTGCACAGGCGGCTCTCTTTCAGGCGTGGCGGTAGGCGGACCGCCTCTCAGAAAGTCTAGACCAGTAAGTGGAAGACGCGACCTAGCAGGGTCATCATCGTCCCTACAATCCATGGCTACAGGGCCCTAGGAGGATGTTGTCAAGACGGTAGAGAGAGCAGGGGAAAGAATTCCCCTGTGCTAGCGAGTGAAAGGAGCGTTGGAGAGGGAGGGGGAGCCAGCCGAGCATTATCAGCTGAACGAGGTGCATGCATGATCTTACAACGCACCGCGGTGCCCCACTCCATCCTTCGTCCAGCGAGACGTTGGGCAACAGTCGGTGCGAGTCGCGCGAGGCTCTGCAATCCACACAACTCATGGGCTGGCGTGAAAGTGGACCAGTAACAGAAAGACTTGCTCCACTTTCGTCTCAATGTGGCCCAAGTTGGCCAGACGTGCGCCAGATTGCCAGCACTTGACTTCTCTCAGTGCGCTCTGCTGCGCTGTCACCGCAATCACGCATACAGGTCTACTGATCGTGCTGTGATTGGCGCAGCTAACCCATATCACGCGTCAATCACTGCAGACTGTATAAAAGTCGGTTTCAGACGGAACTAATACAAGTGCCTGGAAAATCAGAGGAATAGCTACACGCACGTCTTTTTCATCAGACAAAATGGGAATCTCATATCTTATTCATCAGATTTCCCAAACGTTCCATTTCTTAAAAATCAGATTACGTAAAAAAAATCCGTCTTATTCCTCAGAAAAACAGACAAAAATGTCTGATAGTGAGGGCCCTGTAGGCGGCGGTGCGAGCGAGCATGGAAGGAAGGGTGTGGGTGGTGGGGGTGAAGTGGTTCAACCTGCGTAGACTCAAGCAAGCAGATGTGTTCTTCGTGAGCTGTAGTTTTCTAGCTTAAAGGAGCATCTCTGCTGCTTGCTGTTTGTGTTGTAGATAAATATGGTGATACCAAGATTTAGGGAACATTCCTGCCTTGACACTTCTGTCTCAATCCCGCTTTTCCCGATTCGCGCCTGTAAATTTGCCCATTTACGCGTCACAAAAAACGAATGTACCGCGACATTGTGCGACCCAGAGTGTTGTACATTTGGCGTCATGTTATTGGGCACACCCAAATTGACTCGAGCGCACTCATTCGAGCAGCCTGGCATGATACACCAGCAAGGAAACCCCATTCAAGGCTGCCCATGGATGGCGGTTTTGTTTCCCGCGCTAAACTGTCATGTCGTCAAACGTCCAGATGCATGCGGTCGGGCAATGCAATTTCCCGACATTGGTCGTTTCGTGCGATTTCAAGGAGGTGACGGGGCCTCGTCCAACTCGTCCGCGATACCAGCGCAAATGATGCTGGCCAGTGTAAAAAAGGGTTACATTCGCATTACAGCGACACGCGTTTGTGACATTGCACGTTTTATGTTGTTTTTGCGCGTCACAATACTTTTGAGACACAAGTGTCAGGAATGTTCCCTTAGAGATACATATGTACAGAAATTAATATTAGGGGTGGTGGTGAGGTGATGATATGCACAAGCAGGGATGGTTCAGCAACACACAGGCAATTTGCCGTT